ATTTTAAACAGGTTATGTGCCCAGAACGCTTAATAAATTGTTTAGAGAAAAAGTTATTTTTAAAAAAAAGAAAGAGATTGCAATTCGTGACTAAAAGAACTTTTCCAACTATCGTTGAAGCAAGAACATCAATTTTTTTTTCCTTCAAAATGGACTCAAAGCTTCAAATAAAACAGTTAAGTTGCGCAGCCGATCGGCCCATTTGGAAACGTCGTGTTCGAGATTTTATGGACTACCATGAGGGCACACTTGATGTGATTGATGGGAAGTTGTCAAAACCAGAATTACTAGAAAATCAAACAGAGCAACAGACAAAAGATTTTAAAAATAAATCAGATCTGTTTAGAAAGGCAAACAGTTATGCCAAATCAGTAATTGCGAATACAGTCACAGAAGATTCATACCAAAAGATAAAGGACAAGAACAGTGTTTGAAGTTTGGGAGGAATTAAAAAGAAATTTTGAAGCGTCAACTAAGGACCAACTGTTCCAAGTTTGTAGCAATTTTTTCGATTTCAATTGGATAGCGGATGTAGATGTATCCGGCCAAATTGCAAGATTAAAGACTTTATGGAACGAATTAAACAGTGGGCTTCAGGCATCCGGAGAAAATAAACTACCAGAGCTGCTATTAGTATGCAAAGCGATGCAGATTCTCTCAAATAGTTTCCAAAACTTCAAATCAAGTTGGCTAATGCTAGGTGAAGAAAAGCAGTCGATAGATGATTTAATCACTCATCTCTGTGCTTTCGAAAGAGAGATAAAGACTTTTGACACAATCGATAAATCATCAAGGCAGAACGCCTTAGTTGTAAATGTTGAAAACACTGGGTTAAGCAATGTAGAAAGTGGGTCAGTGATGGAAGACCTTCTAAAAATTCCAAAAGTGCTTCAGCGACACCAAGAAAAGCATATGATGAAACATCAAATGTAGTTTTGTGCACATCAGCCAGTAATCAAACACTGAGAGACAACACTAAGTGGTATATTGACAATGGAGCAACAAAGCACCTAACGAACAATCCAGATAATTTTGTTACTTTTGAGAAGTTTGTCGCACCAAGTTCTGTTCAAGCTGCAGGAAAAGAAGTTTTTGCTGCTGCGGGTAGAGGCGAAATAAATATGCTGTCAACAGTAAATAACAAACAACAGTATATAAAACTCTCAGATGTCTGGTATGTTCCAAATATAGGTAGAAACCTGTTTTCCATATTAGCCACACAAGATAAAAATTCAAAAAACAGCAAGTTGAATCTTATGCAACAAAATGTCAACTCAGTATAAAGAACCGAGTGGTAGTACAAGGGACAAAACAAGTAGATGGTTCCTTGTATGAGGCAAACTTGATTTCATTAACTCCAGATACACCGGCTGAAGTGAATATAGTCAGTGAAAATTCAATAGTGCAGCTCTACCATGAACGTTTTGGTCATCAAGATAAACGTCACATAAAGAATGTTATAGAAAAGGAGTTAAACATTAAAGTTCATCTTGACAAGGATTTGTGTGAACCATGTCTCTATGGTAAAGCACATCAGTTAAAATTTGGCAAGAGAAGTGCAACCAATAAACCAGGTGAACTACTATCAGCAGATGTTAGTGGTCCTTTCAGTACAGAATTATTTAATAGTAAACGACATTTTGTTGTTTTCAAAGATCATTACAGCAAAATGAGGCTCATTTCTTTTCTTAGATACAAAAATGAAGTGAAACAGACACTACAAAATATTTTGTCTCAAGCAGCGACTCAAGGTCATAAAGTAAAAGAATTTTTGAGTGACAATGGGGGTGAGTTTGACAACGAAGAAGTTCGAAACATCCTGCGCGGCCATGGAATCACGCAAAGACTAACAGCACCATATACACCTCAACAAAATGGTGGTAGTGAACGTGAAAACAGAACAATAGTAGAAATGGCATGCACATTGAAGTAATCAAATCCAGATTTTGAATTTCCAGTCGCCATGTGGGCTGAGCTATGTTCAACTGCAGTATATTTACTTAATCGAACAGGCAAGTCATCGGTTGAAGATAAAAGCCCATTTAAAATTTGGACAGGTAAAAAGCCAAGAATTAACCATTTGAGAATAATTGGCTCTACATGTTTTGTTCACATACCTGATCAAAAACGTCAAAAAATGGATAAGAAAGCCATAAAAGGTTACCTTGTTGGTTACGATGGTGACGAACGCTATCGTATACGGCTCAAAAATCAATATAAAATGATATTCTCGAGAGATGTAGTTTTCCAAGAAAAACCTATGAAATGTACAACATCATTTGAACATCAGATTCAAAAAGATTTTACAACAGATCCTCAAATCAATTGCAAATCAGAAAATGATCCGAGTAGTAGAAATGATGATGACACTAAGAAGATTATAGATAATTCAGTTAAAGTTCAACTCAGAGATAGGTCAAGCTTGCAGAAACCTAAGAAGTTAGATGATTATGTGATGCAGGCTGAGACACATTTATTAGATGTACATGAACCAGATACATACGAAGAAACCATTCAAAGCAGAGTCAGACTGAAACTCCTGTGTGGACATATGGGACTAATGTCATAAAATGTTTTGAAACAAGGGAAAGTATTGATATAATATATATGTATATTATATATGTTTCAATATATTTATGACTTTCCATAGTTTCAGACAATCATATATTATTGCTAACTTGACTAACTTGCACGTGTATGTTCTTTTCGCTTTTTGTCGACTAACGTGTCGTCTAATATTTCAATTAACGTTTCTTTAATAAACAATTATATTAAAAACAAAGAAGTTTTTATTTTAAACATTTACAATACCTAGAACAACGAAAAACATTGCAATCAGATTTCTACAGACATTGAAGATGATGATCTTTCAATTAGTATACCGTTCGTTCTTATAGCATTTCATTCTTTCTTAGGAACGCGTACATAACATTGTTTCATTGCGCGGATCAAGTGATATTAAATATGATATGCACGCTCAGATTTCTTGTTAGTGGCTAACAAACGACATCAAAAGATTGCTCTAATCTAGTTAGTGCTACAAAAATAAATAAACGAGCGAACGAACAAGCAAACAAACGAAAACCTTTGCCTTACCTGATATTCACCCTTGATGGAAGCTGAGATGCTCCTAATCCTTCTGATGAACTTCTCTGAAGAGGTGCCATGAACGGGTGGCGGCCGAGGATTAAGAGATGTCGGATGTTGTTGCGGAGGGTGTTGTAGTTGTGGGTGTTGTTGGGGTGGATGTTGTTGCGGTGGGTGTTGTTGCGATAGATGTTCTTGTGGGTGATAATTTAAAGTTGATTTCGTCCGTTCAGTACGTTCACGAGGTGTGGCTTCAGTAAATCGTTTAACTAATGTTGATGCTGATGCTGATGGGTGTGTAGTTTTTGATGATTTCAACTCTTCACCATTATTAACGTCGTTGTCTCTATTTGGTTCGTGTGAGATTTTTGAGTTTCTGAATAGAGATCTTCTTTCAACTTTTGTGTCCCTTGCGGTTCTCTCCTCCACCGACGGTGATGCCAACAATCGAGCACTTGACAGCGATTGGTTGAAGTTGATTGATTGATTGATGAAGAAGTTAGGTGATTGGTTGCTGGATTGTTTGAGGTAGGAAGCAATGATGAGCATGCAATAATGCAGTTGATTTGTTCGAGCGTAGTCCCAGGCTGATGCTCCGAATCTGTCAACCTTCATGAGGTCAGCTAAGTTCGGTTCGAATTTAAATTGCAATGTAAAAGTACATATATATTATGTACTGTTTTGTATTGTAATGCACTTTGTAGGTTGCGTTGCTTTGTGTTGTAATTTGAATGTCGAATCGCTTTGTGTTGTAAAGTAAAGTGCTTGCCTCATCCTTTTGTATTGTAATGTAGCAGTAGTAATAATAATGCAAGTAGAAATTGCAAGTTATTGGCGTTCGTAGTGATAGTAACAAAAAAATCGCAAAATGAAGTCGTTAATATTAATTTAACAATTTTCAACATTTTTATAACATCTCGATACTTCTTTTAAGCTCGTTAGGAACATAATTTATTAAATAGATAAAAGTAAAACAATTAACTAACAATAAATCATAACCTGAAAACTAATAAACGTCTTCACAGAGCACAAACATGATTCAAATAAACACGCAGTTATGTCTACGCATTATCAAATAAATACGAAGACAAAATTAGATACACACAAAACCAGACATACATAAGCAGAAAAACAAGCATGAGCAAGTAGGCATACATACACAGACATTTGCATACATTCGCACGTTCGCACACACATACACACACACAAACTTAGACAGACGCAGAAAAACAAGCACATACAACAAACCCTTTCTTGAGAGTAAGTAGTTGACCGCATCAGCATGACCCGCCATGGAGGCCAGTATGAGAGGTGTCCTATCTAGGGCATCCCTCCTATCAATCATGTTATCATCATCACTGTTATCACCATCATTATCTATGCAGCCCTTGTTTTCATTATTCGCACTTTCGGTTCCGTCTTCATTATTTTCATCATCATCCTCTTCTTCTTCTTCCTCACCTTCATCATCGTTAGTGTCTTCAGAAATGCGTTTGTTATCATGGCGGCCGTTCGATGCTACAAGGCCTGTTTTAAGCCTCCTTTCAAATGATACGATGAACTTCAAAGCATCCACTGAACCTGAACAACCAGAAAAAAGTAAGTCGCAAATTATGTCGAGACAACAAATGGAAAATTGAAAAGTTTTAAGAACAATCTAACGGAATCTGATTTCATTTCAGTGGGACGCAATCGTTGATAAACGTTCTATTACAAAGACGTCATCAACTGTCATAAGCAAGCACCAATCAAGCGCTTATTTAAGTGTCATTGACAAACAACACCGAACGATGACATCTATTACATCGTCAAATAAAGTTAACGACATCACAAGATGACATCACCCAACAACAACAACATCAACCACTGGACAATCTTATCAACTACTCACCATTCTCCGCAGCCATGTGAATCAACGACTTGCCCAAGTTATCAGTTGCATTCAAATAATCTTCACTTAGGAACTCCTAAACATTCAAAAATTATTAAAACCAGATATAAAAATCGTTTAATGTCATTGACACTAACTTAGTAACTCAAAGCACATGAATATTGTGAAATAGCTACAACTACAAGTTTGCCTTGTTAAGAGGTAATGTGTTGGACCAGCAAAATGCTCATCACGTGATCAACGTCATAAATGTCAAAGAGAACTTGACAAGAAATTTTGTTTCCGACTATTAAAATGTTCCCTCCATAATCACAAAGTCTTTCCATCCACCAGGTCTGCCACCAACTATGTCATTATTATTCGTCATCTTAATCATTCCTCTCTCCTAGCTTCACATCCTTTCAAAGATGGGTATAATCACCACCAAATCACCAGCGATAAAGACTGATTCGGATTGACTGCAGATTCGCTGCTTCTGGGTCAACCTGCACATCAAAACTGCATGCTTCCTACATGGAGGAGTTACTGTTGACTTGTTTTTGCTTATTTGTGCATATGCAAGTAAATGTGTATATACGATATATCAGATAAAAAATATCTTGTGACCTTTAAGCAGCGTATGGAAGCATTTCCTTGAACGCACCAATGTATCCATCTCCTTCCATAGTCATCCACATCATCTGTCGGAAGACAAACATACTAAGTGGCATTACAGCATTAATGTTAATATTAATGCACGTAAAACAAAAATTTTTCAGTGATTTCTATGAAAACAAACAAAATAAATAATTACTTGACATAAATTTGATGAATTCACCATCCATCTTGACTTCAGTCTCAATGTTTTTAAACCTATCTATCCATTTCAATGCACTACGCCGCAAGTTCAACTCACTTAACAAACTGATGTCCGACTTTTATGTTCGCAAGTTGGAAATCTTTCAAGTTTTATCTCAGCTATCATCCCAGCATGATAACATCTCATTGAGCATGATAGCATCTTACATAAATATCACCTTAACTGCCCACTTGTTCTCATTGAACTGAGCGGGTAATGACTTGAAGATATAAATTAATCAACGTAGAAACGAAACTAACATTGAAAAAAGGGTATTGGTTTCTGAAAGAAAAATAAATTTAATTTCTTGCATGATCTTCAAAGACATCCTCTTCCTCATTATCATCATCTCCATCATCATCATTCACCTTCTTCATCATTTGATTGCCCCTTTTCTAATGACAGATCAAATTTGTTGAGAAGTTTGAGGTGTTTGACCTTGTCCTTACAAGCAGCCCACATCATTGCAGTCATGCCATCATTATCATGCATCTTCATGTTCATCTTGCTAACCGATACATCCAGGGAAAGCAGGTACTGAATCGTTGTTGTTGTTGTTTAATAAAGTTAACAACATAAAAATTATTTACCGAAAATTAGCATTGTAACAAATTTGTAAAAAAATGTTCTTAAAAACCTGGAGACATTTTGTTCCTTTGCTGATTGCTGCCCAATGAAGAGCTCTCCTGCCAAGGTCATCCACCAATGTCACATCAGCATTGTTGGCGTGTAAGATTTGCAGTGCCTCTACATTGTCTTCCATGCATGCTATGTGAGTTGCTGTCCTGCCATCTGTTTTCAAAAATTTTTCATTGGATTTTTTTAAAATGAAAAACCACCTAAAAACCATTTTGCCAAAAAAAATAACGAATGTAAAAGATATAAAATATCTAAGTGAACTTTTTGGAGTACAATGAACAAAAGGCATACCATGAGTAGCTTCATTGACGTCTGCACAATGCTCTACCAGCAATCTGAAAGTGCCTTCATTATAATAATGCACACCATACATCAGTGCAGTCCTGCTCAACCCATCTCTCTTATACACTTCCTCGCCTGCTAATGTTGCAAAGAAATTTGTAAAAAATATATTTTTATGTATTTTCCTACAAGAATCGTTAATGCTAAACGAAATTCATTAATTAGACATTTGATAAATCAACATACATTTAATTTCAAAACTGATAACAAAAATAAAAAAACGCATCCTTACTCATTTCACTTTCTAAAATGATAGTTTGCACAAGGTAATGGTCAGACATTTTAACAGCTTTCATTATTGCTGGTAAGTCATCGGGAAGATTTTTGTTTGGCAAATCAAACCATTTCAACGAATATTTGTCAAAAACAGAAGAAATTGTGAACGATTTAGAAAATGAAGATTTCAAAACGGATTTAAGATGATCATTGTGAAACTTGAAATATCTTTGTAAATTAAAAATTGAAAAATTAAGTGAATCTCTTAAAGCAGCAGTTTCAACGTCAGATCCTAATTTTTTCATGAAGTCTTTCATTTTCGTGGCCAATTTTTGAATATCTAAAAAGAAAAGTCATTTCAAAAATTTAAAAATTTATTTTTTTGGAGAAAAATTAATAATTTATTTTTTATTAATTTGATTTATTTTATTTAAAAACATTTTTATTTTAAATTTAATTTCACTATTTTCAAAAAGAGATAAGATAGTAGGAAAAGAATTTAAAAAGCATTTAAGAAGATATAATATTAATAAAAAATTATTTAAGATTAAGATAAGAAAATTGTTATGATAATAATTATTAATTTATTATTAATATTTAATAATAAATTAATAAATTTTCAATAAAAATTATTATAAAAAAAAAGTATTACAACCTTTTCTTTTTACGGTCATATTTAGGAGTACTTAAAAAGAATGCACGAGACATTTTGGTTTGTTTGACATGTTAGCACAAATTAAAAGCCATGATGGTTACATTATTTCATTTCTCCATTCATACTTTCTTCAACATGCATCCAAGGTATACAAACTGAAAAGTGCAATCAAATCTCAAAGAAAGATGAGCCAAAATTTGTCATATTTTAATTATAAAAATTTTTTTAATAAAGTTATTAATATTTTAATATGCAATATTAGTTTTTAAAATTATATAAAAATTAAATAAATTGTTATTCTAAAATTATAAACTGCAAACTATAGAATTACATACACTGATCTAAACAAGTGTCCATTATAATGAAGATACATTCACTTTTATTATTATTATAATATAATTTTATTTATTCTTTAATTTGAAAAATTTGGAAACCTGATTTATATTTTGTCGCATCATCAGTTTTCGATGCAGTGCCAGTCCAGATTTTGCTAGAGCAAGTGTTAATTTTTTGCTTCTTTTCGTGGTTTATTAAGTTTTTGTGATTTAAAATTAATTTTAATTAAATTTAATATTTTAATTTATTAAATTTTTTTTTAATTTTAAATTTTTTGTTTCCACCTTCTTTATATAAATTGCAAATTTTTGAAAATAATATCTGACTGGTGATTCACAGTAACTCAACTTTTAATATTAATTTATGTATATATATAATAAATAATTATATATATAAATATATAATTATATATTATATATATTATAAATTTATATAATAGTTTCAATTTAAATTTTTTTTATTAAAATTAAAATTTTATAATTTAATAAATTAAAATTATATTAAACTTAAATGCCACTGAAATTCATTATTAGAAAATATAATAGTTCATGCTTATTTCTTTCTAGAAAGTTAAATTGACTTGTGTGTCCACTGTTCAGTATTTACTCTGCATTAAAAATTAGCACAAAAAGAAAGATTGGTAATCTGTCTCAATGGAATATGTTGGTGAATATGAATTCAATAAAAAAGATCTGATTGGTCATGGGGCATTTGCAGTTGTTTTCAGAGGCAGACACAGAGTGGTAAAACATTTTCATTTGTTGGGATACAATTTTTAACTATATTTTTTTGACTAATTTTATTTATAATTTTTTCATTTATCTTTATTTTGTTACTGAAATTAATTTTTTTTTCTTTAAGAAACATGATCAAATGGTTGCTATAAAATGCATCACAAAGAAGAACTTAGCAAAGTCCCAAAATCTCCTGAGCAAAGAAATAAAAATTTTGCAGGTTTGGACTGAATTACTAAATTATTTACTATTAAAAAAATCATTAAATATATACTCTGGAATGGAATTAAGATTTTGGTGGAATTGTTAATGTTACAGAATGTTGATTTAATTAATTAATTAATTAATTTATTGATATGAATGAAATGATATACAGGAGTTGTCAAACATGGAGAGTCATCATGAAAATGTTGTTGCACTTTTACAATGCAAAGTTAGAAGTTCTTATTTTGTAAATATTATTTTTCATGAAACTCTGAAGAAAAAATAAAAAAAATAACCTATATGATTAGATAACAATTTTGTTAAAAAACTTTAAAACTGTGTTAACTTGTTGATATAAATAATTACTTAATGTGCCATGTTGTATAACATTTCCAGGAAGCTCCAAATCGTGTGTACTTGGTTATGGAGGTTAAGCTTGACATTCACTCATTAATTTCATTTTAGCAATTCTCTTAGAATTTAGTTTTATAATTTTTAAATGTTTGTTTTGTTAATAATTCTAATTGCATATTAATGTTATTATATCTTATAATCACACCATTTATGATTTTTACATGCAACTAACTATTAAATTAAATAACTCACAGTATTGCAATGGAGGTGACTTGGCAGACTACTTGCAAGGTTTGTCCTGTTCAGATGTTCATCCTGTTTTTGTTATTGCATGCAATATCTTTCATGTTGGACATCATTCATGTTTATTCAATTCACACACACACAGACAAACACCTAGGTATAATATGTTTTATCAAACTTTTGCTATCCAATGAAAATCTTAATATGTTTTATAATTTATTATTTTTTTATTGCATTTTGTATCATTCACTTGCTTACATGATAGGTCATTAAGATTCTAGTTATGTACATCTAAGCATCATATAGATCATGAATTTATTGACTCATACATTATGCTGTATATATATATATATATATATATATATATATATATATATATATATATATATATATATATATGTTTGTTTGTGTGGTTCTTTGGTTCCTTGTTCTGTGTTTCATGTTGTTTATGATGTCTGTTGTGCTTTGTCTCTTCAACTGTTTTGAAATATGTGTATATGAATTTGTTTTGAATGTAGTTATATTTTATATATTTCCTATATTCTTGTTTAATTGTTCAACAAATGATCATATCCCAGCAAAGGGCACATTGAGTGAGGAAACAGTCCAGTCATTCCTCAGACAGATTGGTCACATTTCTTTTCTCATTTATTTTTTAGTAGTCAACAAAAAATATGGAATAAAATTAATTTTTGATAGATTGGATATGATGGTTTTAAAAGTTTATTGAATAGTCTTTTTTTTAATTTATCTCTGTACTGTCATATATTCCTTGTATATATTTCTTTGATACTCTCTCTCTCTTCTTGTATTGGTCTTTATCTGAGTGATGATAAATCTGGCACTGGCCATTACTACAAATGAAACAACTTCTTAAAGTTATTTATTCATCAGCAATTTCAAAATTGTTTGGTTCATTATCTACTTTTCATAGCAATTATGAAGGACACATAATGATTCTAATCTAGATGTCTTGTTGTGAAACTAATTCTTCACTTAGCATTCAAAACTCTCTTATACCATTCTGTTATGAAATAAGTTCTTAGACATGAGATAAATGATATTATTGATAACCAAATGCATTTAAAATAATAAAATTCATTGGCTGGAAACAGCTGCAGCCTTGAAGGCACTCAGTGTCAAAGGAATTGTGCACAGGGATTTGAAACCTCAAAACATTTTGTTGTGTCACTCGAACAGATACAAGCAGACTCACACCAACATCATCTTCATACCTTACTCTGATATCACCCTCAAAATTGGTTACTTACACTTCTTCATTCAAACTTTAAGATGAATATTTATTCTCGTGTACAGTGCACATTTTATTAATTGATTAAATTGTCTCTTATTGATTTGTAATGATTTTATCTTAATGATTTTTTTAAATATCTAATAGATATAAAAATTTCATTTAAATAATTTTGGAAAAGTGAAAATAGATTTTCATAAAATATAAAAAGCTATAATTTGTTGTTAGCTGATTTTGGGTTTGCACGGTTTCTGCAAGATGGAAACATGGCAGGAACGCTGTGTGGCTCTCCAATGTACATGGTCAGTGTCAGTTATGTGGGTTGTTTCATGATACTATTGGCTGCTGTGGTGATGTGTATGATATTGCCATTGTAATTTTTTTCCTGTCCATTGAGATATTATTTTTCATGTTTTAAACATTAATTCAGCCCCAACGTGCTTGTAATTATACACAGTCAATTTTTCTGCTTTATGTCAGTCTTCATATTTACACTGTTTTTTCTTTTCATCTCGTTCAATATTCACTGTTAATTTTTTAAACTACATATATGTATGTAGAATTTAAGACAATTTATTAAACTCTTTATTTTTTTGGAAAATAGCTTAACAATTTAAAAAGAAATTGCTATGCAATAAGAATTTGAACTTGATGAAATAATTATTTATAATTATAATTTAAAATTATTTAGGCACCTGAGGTGATAATGTCGCTCCAGTATGACGCCAAAGCAGACCTCTGGAGTGTCGGTACAATTGTATACCAGTGCCTCACTGGCAAAGCACCTTTCCAAGCTCAAACTCCTCAACAGTTAAAACAGTTCTATGAAAGGAATGCCAATTTGCAGCCCAAGTATGCAGTGCCTATTAATTTTTTATACAAATGTTTAATCAATTTATTTTCAGGTTGAATTTATTAGTTTTTATTATTTTTATTAATTTATTTCTGATGTTGATGATATTGTCTATGCTTTTAATATCTATCTACATTACTTCTATTCTTGATGGGCTTATTCTTTTTAAATCTTTCCTTTATTTCTCGTTTTTGTGCCATAACGTTGTGATAGCATGCATTATACATTCTACATAGACACATATTACACATGGGACGTGACATATTCTATTTTTACAAAGCACACATGTAACATTTTATACGCACATTTAATGCATCTACAACACATGTGTAACCACATACACATACAATGACCCAGCATCCCTCTTGGCATCAGTGGGGCACTGAAGCATCTCCTGTTGGGTCTTCTCAAGAGAAATGCCAAGGACAGAATTGAATTTGGTTTGTTCAACAACTTTTTTTGGCAACATTTTTTGGCTTATTTTTGGTAAATTTTTCTTTTTTTTATTTTTTTTCATCTATTTTTTAATGCATACATACATACAGATGGTTATCATTGCTTGAAAAAATATAATCTTTGAAGTGTTTTTAAAAACCTAATAATTAATGAAGTTATTATTCATTAAATGTTATCTACATAGTTTTAAAAACCGTCCTTTTATTTTTCCAAATACAGAAGATTTTTTCAACCATCCCTTCCTTTACAAATCAACGAACACCTCATCTGTTGGTCAGTTCATGTTGTTTTTATATATCTTTCTGTCCAGCTATTTCCATGCTCGGTTTCAAGTTTTATAAAAGTTGCTCATAGTTTCACCTAAAATTATTTCGTTTTGTTATTTTGCTTTTGTGGGTTAAATTTTCAAACATTTAAGGAAATGTAACTGTTGGGTTGGATATGAAATAAAATAACTTTTGAAAAACTCATTCATTAGCTCCTCTGAATATTAAGAACCACAAGTATTCAGATGTCAGAACATCTAGCAATTCAACGACAGCCAAGACGAGACCAGCAACTAAACAGCAACTGAATAATGATCATGTCACTTCAACAGATGTCGGTAGATTTTAATTTTTTCTCATTTGTTTGCTTTGTCCGACTACTGTTTACTATAGGCTGAGCAGTGAGCACATGTGTGCGCGTGCTTTTGTGTGTGTGTGTGTGTGTGTGCGTGTGTGTGTGTGTGTATATATGTAGTGATAATATATGAAAAAAAATGTTCATAATTTTTTGGTCAATATTTTTTAAATATTAAAATGATGTTATCATTAGCATAAAAACTATAAAAAAGAAATAATGATGAATCAGTGATATTAAATTATGATGAATAAAGATAATAGTGAAGAAATTATGATGATGATTATGATGGTGATGATGATGATGTGACGATGAATGGTTTAACAGACAGTTCTTGAGGCAAGTTTGGTCATGAAAACAACAAACAGCAATGCCAGACATGCCAATCTTCCAACGCAAAACAACAAAGGTGGTTGTGGTCGTGGTGATGGTGATGCACGTGATGACGATGATGATGATGAAGATGATGATGATGTTGACAGAAGTGAAGAGTGCGACTAGTAGGAAGACTTAAACTGTTTCAGACAGCAATTCACGCTTTTGCAGTTTTGATTGGCATAATTTTGAAGCTAGAAAGAGGATTTGAACCCAGAAGTCCTAGTACTGTCAACCTGTGTGCTTTCAACTCGAACAGTTTATCATACATAAAGACATTATATAACTAATTATCCTATTGATGTTATTGTGATGGTGGCAACACCATCGTAATCATTTTTGTTTCTTACCACAGGACCACCAAGAGCCTGTATTCGTCCAAAGGACAAAGTAATGAAAGAGAAGGAAATGTAAGCCGATGGATGTTTATTCATTTCATTAATTTTAATAATAATATTCTTCGTTGATCAAGTATTAGTGTTTGGATTTGTTACTATATATATTTTATTCTTATTTATTATTCTTATTTTGTAGCTACTTTTTATTATATGTTTTACATAAATGTGTTTCGGTTATAAATGGTAAGCAATTTTCAAACATGAATTTAACTTAGTTGTTAGAAGTGTAATGATTATTTGGGTTATGTTAGGTTACAGCGACGTCGTTCGTGAATGTGGTTGATTGGATAACGTTAACTGGATTGTTTTAAATTTCGCCAGAAATCACAAGGTGGCAGAATGTGATTTCAAATTCATGGATGATGCCGAATCCTCATTCGATGAGGACGACGACGACGATGAGGACGACGATGCTAGCGTGAAGAGATTGAGGGCTCTCCATCAGAAGTGTCACCAACTGAACTTTCAGAACGATACCAAAGCAGCTCACTCGTCTTCGTCGCCACATCCTCATCACCAACCGAGTAAGTCAACCACATATCAACATTCATTGAAGAAGGATCATCTCTCTGCTGGAGAGGAGGACGGTGGCGATGATGACAGTTCGGATGAAGACACAACCTGTGAGGAACTACCCAGGGTTGGTGGTTCTTTTCACAATCAATTTCTGCTTTTTCTAACATTAAATTTCTTTTTAAATTTGTTTCTTTCATAAAAAAAACACGACTGACGAAAATTCTGAAAACTAATAAGCCTGTTTGTTTTTACCATCATAAATTTGGATTTTGACTGTGACTTTGTTTAATTTGTATAATCGATTGCTATAAATCGTTATAGTATGTTATTTATGTATAATATGTTATTTTGCATACAATTGTTCAATGGATTGAGGTATTCAGTTAATGTTTAATAATTTGTTAGTCGTGCAACGTGGAAGTTGTGCCAATAGCAATGCCTGAATCTCCAACGGTCGAGTTCTCATCCGGTTCAGGTTAATAATCCCTCTTCCGCTGTCGTGCCAAGCTATTTGTATTCTCATTTCTCGTTTAATTTCTCTACTTTAATTTGCTGCTCTTTTGCTGGAAATGTTTTATGCAAGTTTAGATTATTATCATTCATTTTATCATTATTCATCATTAAATTTATCATTTAAATGCTTTTTATATGGTTTAAATAAAGAAATAACGAATGAGTTCTTTAACGGAGAAAGGTGATGAGTTTGTCCAATCGTATCATTTAATGGTAATTTTATTTAATTAAATTTTCCAATCCATTGAAATCATTCTACAGATGAATCATTGACAAATATTGAGTCGCAGATATCACTAACAGCCACAACACGAGCTTCATCCCACCCTGCACTCAACTGGATCAATTGTAAGGCTACACATTCCCCTCTTCAGGCTTTTCTACCGTTTTGTACGCATTGCTTGTTATTAATGGCTGGGAGTATGCAGCAGACTTTTAAGGAGCAATTTGTACTAACAAATAACTGAGTAACTAATTTTTATTAATTTTGTTTTTGAAGGTGATAAAGCCGAAAAAAGCAAAGAACGAAATAATCAGCAGCATGAAAACAACGAAGAAGGAGATGAGGAGGAAGAAGAAGAGGAAGATGGGGAGGGTGGTGCTGGTAAACATGGGGGTGCATCGAGGAGGAGGAGGAGTCTGGCGGATGAGCACGACGACATTTTGTTGACCTCCCTCAAGAGGACAGCCTCCATCCCCAGCAACATCAAGATTGGAAGCTTCGAGGATCGAGTCGATGATGATGATGATGATGATGACGGTGGTGGTGAGGAGGAAGACGATGGTGGAAATGTTGAAGGTGATGAGGACGATGAGGGAAATGGTGATAATGGTCAACATCATTATCATAGTGATCGCAATCGGGCTGATAAGCTTTGTAAAGAAGGTTTACTCAGTTTTTTTTTTTTCAAATTTTTTGTTACATGCGCCAATCTTTATTTTCATTTTGCTGTTTTTAAACCAGAGAACAGCGTGAATGTGATGATGTTGTCATCGAAACTGCACAAAAGTAAGACAGAACCCTCTCTGTTGTCATTAGGAACAACAACCAGTCATTCAACGAGTCACCACACCAACAACACGTCGGGCAACGGCTCCACGATACCTTCGTCCACTGCTCCTCCATCTTGTACGTTTTTCTTGTTTTTGTGCATTTTTTGCAATTTTTTCCGCGATTTTACATGCCAATTGTAATTTTTAGGGTTAATTCATTTAGTACAATTTATAGACTTTTATTTTGTGATTGAATCTTCTTTTTTCGTATTTCACTCCATCATTGCAATCCTTCGAAACATTTCTTCATTTCCATATTTATCTCCAGTATACTGAGATTACATTTTAAATCCCAATTTTATAGTTAGCCAATGGTCATCTTATATCTTCTCACTATGTATTTTCTAATTACTATTTCTCCAAATTCCCATGCTTTTCTCGTTTTGTCTAATATTTGTCATTACGAATCATACTTCTGATAGAATTTCTGGTCTGACTTTTTTGTCCATGATTTCGTCCCGATTTGTTATCAGTTAGTAATGACTCGCTCGCTTATTTTGAGGCTTATCATCTGCGCAAATACTTCCGACAAGCACTCTCTTAGCGTGCTGGACAACCGGAGTTTAAAAATTTCATATTTATTTGCTTGGCATCGTAGAAAAGTGTACGACTTTGATTTAGAATTCAGTTTAAATTTTTTTTTTGAATTTAAATTTTAAATCTTTTTTTGTGTTACCTTTAGAATATTATTTTTACTTTCCTAAAGTTGGTTGCATTCATTTAACGTTTTAATAATGTGCGGACGTTGCGTTGCACTGCACCCAGCTTTGCCATCTCAGAGTCAGGATTCCGCTGCTGATGACGACGACGAGTATGAAGATGAAGGAATGTCAGCTGATTCAGAAGAGGCTGTTAGAACATTTTTGGATGGATGAGTGGATAAATGAATGAATGAATGAATAAATTATTAGATGGATGGATGAATGATCTGATGAATGGATGGATAGAACTAGAAGAACGGTTAGATGGATAGATGGATGGTTGAATTTTTGAATAAATGGATAGATAGATAGCTAGATTGATGGATAGATGATTGATTGAATGATTGAATGTGATTGAAGATGGATTAATCAGTTTTTTAGCATATATTATATTTTATTTAAAGCCATTTGTTTATTTTATATTTAATGTTCTCACTGGCAGGACTCAACTTTGCACAAACTACGATTCGTAGTTGAGCTGGTTGAGTGCATCCTTGACCTGTCAGACTCAAGGAAGAAATTGGCATCCAACCAACTGAACAGTGGTGACATCATGAACGACATGCAACAAAATTCTAACGTCATATTGGATCAGAGTAACGTAACAGCTTCAGTAACAACTTCAGCGTCCACCAGCTTCACGTCTACGGTGTCCACTACTACTGCTGCCACTGCTACATCTACTGCAATTTTCACCGTATCGTCTAATGGTAACGAGTGTCATGTTAATAACAAAGAATCGAGTAGAAGGTTGGTTTGTTACGACAGTTTGTAACTGAATAATTTGTTTCTAATTTATTTCTTTATAATAGTAACATAAACTGCGCAAGATAATGTATCCACGTAAACAGATACAA